AAATAAATCTTTTTATTAATCCTCGCCGTTCACACTGCTGTTGGAGATTCATGCAACAGCTGTTTCTGACATATTGCATATTGTCTATTTAAATTTTTTTAAATCCCGTAAACGGTTAAATATGCGTTTTATAGTAATAAAAGTTATCTTCTTTTTCTTAAATATTCTCCATTCAATGGAAATGATGGAGGAATTATTTGATTTTAGGCGCAAGGCAATGAGACGTTTGTTTCTTGCTCAACCAATGCACAAATTAGTTAGTGCATGTGCATCAAATGCAACAAGGTCAGTTTGGACAAAGGCAAGTATAACATTTGTATAATAATTGCCTTGGTTTAATTAAAATAAGTACATAATATGGATTCGTGGCCACAAGTTCTGGGAAGTCGATTGCCAGATGAATTCCGATGCATTTTTTAAAAGTAATTTTCGGATGAAGCGTAAGTCTTTTAAGAAATTGTGCGATATGTTAAAAGGTCTGGAGAGGAAAAACATGCTGATATATGGCGTTTTTGAATCGGCAGCTGAGATAGGGCGTAAAATTCACAAATTTCCAAAAATGTTCATCAAATTTTCAAACTTTTTAAACAAGCTTAGGAGAATTTACGAGTATGCAGTTTTGTAGGTAATTTAATTTTAGTACAGCAAAGTGAAAGTTGCGCATTTTCTTCGATATATCGCATAATCAAAATCAATTTATATATATGTACATATGTATATGGAAGAAAATACATCTTGAAGTTAGATAGGGCATTTTTTAGTCGAATTCTGAAATAGGGCGTTCTTCAATCAAATTCTGAGATAGTGTGTTTTTCAATAAAATTTTTAAATAGGGCGTTCTTGAAAAGTTTTTTGAGATAGGGCGTTTTCGAACTGGCTGCCGAGATAGAGCGATCTTCCACTCAGCAGTCGATATATTTTCATACAAAATTAAGGAAAAAAAATTTTCACTAGAATAATTGCTAATAAGTATTATATTACAACAAAATACATACCATCTTTTAACTCTGGCTGTATGTGAAAATGTTACACGTCGGATAATTTTTAAGTTCTGCAAAGTTAATATATTTAATTATTATTTTGACGACGAAGAAATTCTACGAACGAGATAGAGCGATCTTCCACTCAGCAGTCGATATATTTTCATACAAAATTAAGGAAAAAAATTTTTCACTAGAATAATTGCTAATAAGTATTATATTACAACAAAATACATACCATCTTTTAACTCTGGCTGTATGTGAAAATGTTACACGTCGGATAATTTTTAAGTTCTGCAAAGTTAATATATTTAATTATTATTTTGACGACGAAGAAATTCTACGAACGCGTCTTTCATTTCGCTCACATTATCCGCATACTGTTGCAAAATGGCAAGCCGTTTGTCATCTGCTTGCTTCATTTCTTGAGTTGCCATTAAGAAGTCGGTGCGCATATCCTCCATCACTGACACTGCCGTCTTCTTCTTGTTTTTTGCAGGCTCGCTCGAGGAAGGCCTATTGGAGGAGTCTACATTTGATGAGCTAGGACTGGGAAGCGGTGGGCATGTTGTTGACTCTCCATCCGTCTCGATTTCGATACACTCGTAAAACTCGGCTTCGTTGCAGTCAAAATCAACTAAAATATTATATACATATAAAACAATAAAAAAGGATCTCGAAAGTAAATAGAATTTATTATTACGTACCCATAATACTATCCTCCGTCAACTCGTCAGCGCAGTAGCTCTTTTGGCATCCAAGGGCTTCATGGACGGCATTATACAGTTTCCACGTAGATGGAGAGCCTCCCGACGGACCAACTTTTGCCCTTTCTTGCCTATAAGTATTTAACAA